TCTCTCTCTCTCTCTCTCTCTCTCTCTCTCTCTCTCTCTCTAACACGCAACCCCCCCCCACACACACACACAAGTCCGACCAGACAGTGTGGCTCAGTCATGTTTTTTAAACAAAAAAAAGGCTAATTCTTTTAGGCCCAACCAGTTCAATTGCTCTTTTCCTGGAGTTCTGTATAGCGAACATGACAACACACACACACACACACACACACACACACACACACACACACACACACAGACAGGCAGAGAGGGAAAGACAGAGACGACAGGGGAGAGAGACAGAAAAGGGAGGACACATATGCACACACAGGCCGAGAAAGAAAGAGAGGCAGTGAGGGAGACGGACAAAGGGAGAAAGAGAGAGGGAGGGAGAAAGGTAGGACACGCACACAAACACAAACATACACCCAGAGGCACACTGAGAGAGAGGCAGAGAGGGAGTCGAGGAAAATACAGAAGAGCGGTCAAGCGCAAGCGCATACACACACACACACACAGAGGAAGAGAGACAGAAAGAGAGAGAGAGAAGAAGGGAAACAGAACCAAAGCAAATGGGAGAAAGGGAGAAAGGGAGGTATGTGTGAGGCCTACCTACCGTCTGTTTGAGGCCGGGCTTCCAGGATGGGTTAGTACATCAGGATCACCACCGCTGCATCTCAGCTGCGCTAGGTCTGATGAGTGCCCAACCCTTCAGATACGTTTCCCTCCAAGCCCTGCCCTTCCTCGTATTATTCCCCACAAGTCATCTTCGTCCCAGCAGCTCCTCTATCCTGGTGCATTTTAGACAAACAACATAGCTCATCAATGACGAGACTAATTATGATGATGATGATAATCGAGGAGGAGGAGGACAAAGATAAAAGACGACAAGAACAAAATCGGTGCTGGTGAAAATCTGGCATTCTTTGAATTTTTTTCACTGTCTACACCACTCCATTTATGATTTCTTCTTTTGCCATCTTATCCGTCCACGTGTCACAAGCAGATCTCTCTACAAGAGCCCCACTTTCCCGCACGGCGGCCTCCCATCCCGCCACCAGAGAGCGAACACACCCCTGCCTCAAGAACAAAAGACACTGTCGTGCCCCCCCCTCCCCCCACCCCACCCTTACGCTCCTCTCCCCCCTCCCACTCTCACGAGCTCTCTCACTCTGTGCACTAGAGCGCTGAGCAGCCCCCTGCTCCTCTTCTCCTCCTCCGCCACCCAGATTCTCCCGTCCTCCTCGCACCACCGCTCTTCCCGGCTTTCCCCAGGTCGATTGTTAGCACCAGACGACATATAGCGCTGAGAGGGGATGGGAGAGTGCAAGAGAGAGAGAACGGGGGAGCAGGAGGAACAGGGGGAGGGGAGGAGAAAGGGGAGGTGGGAGTGCAATGACAAAGAGGGCAGGAAGGAGGAGCGAGAAGTTCACTGGTCGATGGTTTGAGAATCCACCACGTGTAAGCGCCCCGAAGCCACCCGCCGCATGCATGCGTGCACACCTCCCCCAGCCCCCACTCAATCTCCGGCGAGCAGGACCGAAATCTCCTGCTCTCTCTCCTCTCTCTGCACTCTCACTTTTGCATCCGATGTGTCTCGAAGCATGCAGCGCCAGCAGAGAGCTGGCTTGCACTTTTCGCAGACAGAAAACGACAAATCCAGCTAACGAATCAAGTGACACGAGAAGCCGCGTGCCGGCGCCCCCCTACCACGCCCTCACCGCTTCCTCTCACCTCGTTCCGCAACCCCTGCGCACCAAAAAAAACCTTACATTTGAGAGGATTTTAAAAAAATACCCTTACACTAAAAAAAACACTACCGGTTTGAAGGCGTACTCACACCAGGTGGCCCATCCGGCCACAAAGAAGAAACAAAAAATACAGTGGGGAGTTAAGCGGGGGGGGAAGGAGGAGGAGGAAAGGGAAGGAGGGGGAGGAAAAGAGGGAAGGGAAGGAGGGGAAGGGGCGGA